AAATATGAAAACAGTTCTTTGACCGTTATTTTCTAGGGTGTGGTGGAGACAGCTGCTGGAGCCGCAGATGCCTTTGGTTCAGTAATGGGAGGATTTCTTTACACAGTATGTCCATGGCATGATCTTTACCTGAATTATCTCATTTGTAATATGTAATATATCACGTGAATATTATCTAAAAAGCATCCCTCAATTCAACTTGAAAAGTTATGTCAACATTACATCCAAAACCGCCTCTGATTTTTTTCATAAATTTCTATATATGCTGCTTTTGGCCAGGCTTCATTAGTTGTGTTGTCTAAGAGACAATACCTCACACCATAGTGAGGGTGAACACTTAATTACCCCGGCTTTTTTCCACAGAGCATGCCGAGTAAAGAATTAAAGTTATGGGTAACAGGGTAATCTGAGATGCAGGAAAATAACGTCATCAACACTCTCTGATCTCAGTTGATCTTGTTTCTAGGTTGGTGGTTTTAAACTTCCCTTCATTGTTACGGGTGGAACTATGATTGCTGTTATTCCAATTTTAGCCTTGACACTTGGCAAAGGTTTGATTTATAGATTTTTTAACAATCTTATATTCTCACTAATTTTAGTATCTGAGTCATTTTCTTAAAAGCATTTGATTTGTGAAAAAGGTGCTCAGGTTCAAAAATCATTCAGTCAATGAAGGAGTGATTGGGCAAGTTAGTCAGTCACTCAGTCAATCTTTCATTTAACCTTCGAATCATGTTTGATATGTATCTGTATCACCGGTTTTTTACGATGCGCCTCCTATCAACATTAGTTTCATTTAAAATCGTTTCAAGGAGACAGGTGACATTGCTCTCGAGCAAACAGTTTGGTAAACAAATATAATTCTATAGTAATATAATAAAGTATTATCGTTTGTCTCACGATGTGGTCAGCTATGATGTGAATCGCGAACCGTTCCAGAGCACACCCAAAACACCGGACACCGATTATTAATCGTGATCCTTACTGGTACACTGGTAAGGTCAAAGGGGCAATTCACATAAGACTTCAGCCTAACTACATCAACAGGGACAGTGGAATAGAAATTCCTGAAGCGTGGTGCTCACGATCAAAAAACACAACAACCGGAGAGTCGTACGACAGTGAACCGTCGAAGGAACAACTCACTAGGATCTAAACAAACCAAACACAGCTGTGGAAAAAAAACCAACCAATCACTGCGGAGCATCATGCTTTATAAGAAGACCCGAAACCATTCGACCTTATCGCCTGATGAAGACTAGTGGTATGCAGTCGAAACGTCGCGATTCACATCATAAGTGACCACATCGTGAGACAAACGATAATACTTTATTATTGTTGTGTTTTACCACGATGAACAAGCACAACCTTTTTACGAAATTAAATTCTAGTCATCAACATGAAAATGCAAGGTAGACTGCTGCCTGTGTTAATAGACTACCATATTTATCCGCGGATTGGACACACCCGCGTATAGGCTGCACATTTTGGAGAGGTGACAAAACGCTACAGAGCCCCTGTTTTCCTGTTAACCCCATCCTTTACAATCGTGTGAGACAAAACCATTTAACTGAAAGGAAAGTCAGCGCTGGTGCCGCAAATTTTTTTGCTGATCACTTCTTACTCAGGCTATGGATATAAAACGAGAAACACGAGTTCCTTTACTGTATTGAGTGCAATTTTGAGCCATATCAGTCCGTTCCTGAGAATTTTCTCTCGAAATATAGCAAGGATAAATGTTAATTAAAAACTACCTACCAGGAGAGGAAAAGAAGGAAAACGATGACAAGGAATCAATATCCAGGTTAACAGTGCTAAAAATTCCTACTGTACTCGTGTTATGTAAGTAAATGACTACACTTAACATTTCACATATTTTTTCTGACAATATAATGGAGAGTTAATATTACTAGATAATGTGATTGCTGATGCACCCTGGGTTGAGGGTAGCCAGAATACTTCTTTTGGCAGAAAATTTATGTGAATGTCTCACGGACAAAAACACGTGGCTCATTTGACGTTTTTCCGAAAGATACCAGAGCACTTAAACGAAACTAGCTTTATAGTGAATGCACTCCCAGAGTCTAAAACCATATCAGAAATCAAACTGTTACACCTTCTCTGCATTGCTATATGTCATTTATGTCGAAGCTTTAAGGTAATCTTGGAGGGCGGACTCTTACTGTAAGCCAAATGCATTAGCAAGGAAAGTAAGCAAAGTGGCTTCTCACCATCCATTTCAGTTCATGAAAAGGAAAAAAAACAAAAACGAGCGGCCCTTTTTGCGCATTATTTTAGCTGATTATCCGTTATAAGTAATAGATTAGGGTCGTTAAAGGCTACATTTTATCAAGTGATAGCTTATGCGTTCAAAAGGTTGATAAACATTAGAAAAATTATGTAAATGTAATTTTTTTTAAAGTTGTCAATGGCAAAAGTTGCTCGAGGTGCTCCAAACTAAAAGTTGCTCAAAAATTGCCGAGCACAAGGGAAGGGGCCATTTTTAAGTTACATGTCTTAGAGAGTTAGAGCTCTTACATTTGTCTAAGAGTTACCGAAATGAGAGTGGTCTCTAACAAATTTTTCCTGTCATTTCATTCCAGCTCTCTGCTTTGCCGTCTGTGGCTTGTCATTTTGTTACCCTGATCCTATCTTAGGGCCTCACTTAATGGAGGTACAACTACGACTTTTACTCTTAAATCATGTCAGGTCTTGTTGGATAATGTTTCCGCATTCTGTCACAGAACATGCTTTGTCAACTAGATGGCTTGATCAAACAGAATCCCTTAACGCAATACCTTGAGGAATATTCAAAAGTGAATATGGTTACTTCAGGATTTCGTTAGTTCTGTTTTACTTCCCTCTTGTGATCCGGTAAACTCACGCCAACTATTTGGAGGTAGAACTAAAACTGATTATGACTTGGTCATTGTCGTTTCCCCGCCCTTCATAGCTTTCTTCATTGTATTTTCAATTCCTCATTAGCTCCGCGTGACATTTTTCTTTCCTCTAATTGGACGTTACCATTATGCGACATTTGATCGAAATTAGCTTGTGACCAGGCCCTCACTGTTAGCGCTGCCGGACGTGCATATCTCTGCAAGCGGGAAGATTAGAGACGAGTTGAGACAGGTTTGCTGGGATCTGGCAGACCCCAAATTGACCGCTGGCCGGCTTGCTTCTCTCAAGAACTCAGACTCTTTCGGAGGCTAAGAAACGCTCGTGTTGCAGCGCCTATAATCGAAATACGATTTATTATTCCTTTAGGAAAGTTGAGTTCGCCAAACTTTTAAAGTCTTCTGTCTTCAAAGTTGGGCTTAATGGTCCACTTGGCATATATTCACTTCACAGTTGGGTCAAAATCCAGCAAATGTTGGTCTTGCTTTTCTTTGTTGGAGTGCGACTTACGCCCTCTTTGCACCATTGGTCGGATGCATAGGAGATAAAACGGTACGTTTTCCCTTTGGCATAGCAGAAATTAACTCTGCATCAGGGTCTGGCATTATCATAATTACCAAATCTGCCCTCCAAAAACTTTCATTAACAAGACAAGCGTTTGCCGGTGGGGGAAACTAAGACTTCTTTTTTTGTGAGGTTTCCTTTTCTCTCATGGTGAATGGTGGGGGACAGGGCGGGGTTTCCAGTGCATTATGACGTGCGTAATGACGTGTTCAACTCAAGTCCGCGAAATTCAACTTGGTGACCGACGGAGTCCATTCTGTTCCAATCAAAAGTGTATTCCCCAGAGGCTAGGGAATGAATTCTAAACATTAAAGAGTGCTGGGGGAAAATAGCGACTTTCGGTGACGTCTTGCTGTGAGGAGTTTTCCCAAACATTTCTGCTTCGACATTTGTAGGACCTCTACTGACAAAACTTACCATTTATACCTCCGATTTACATTTGATTGAATTGTTAACTCGAGGCGTCACCTCAGAGAGAAAAAATCATCCACTCCGAAAGCTGTGTTGTTAAGAACTCATGGTGACAACTCTTTCTCGTGTGATTTGGTATGTAATGTATTAAAAATAAAAGCATGATTTTGATGCAACTACATATTTCTTAAAAAATCTCTTTGCAGAAATGTTATCGAACGATGATGATAGCAGGTTTTACTGTAATTCTCGTTGGACATCTGTTGGTGGGACCTGCTCCATTTCTTACGTTCTTACCAGCAAAGTATGTGTACTCGTCATTCTGCATATTATTATGATTATGTTAACTAAAAGTAATAGTTAAAAAAAAAAACGATCTTCGGTATTCTGAGCAATTTGTACACGTTCAAAAAATTCAGAAGTCAGTGAACCTGCAAACATGGATTTGTAGTTGTGATTATCAAGTTTCACGCCTGTCTCCAGAACGATCCAAAACTGAGGTTCAGTCACCTTTGAGAAATGTTATGTTAATGATAAAACTTATTCGATTCCGCTGTTCTTTTAGGACGATTTGGCTGTTGATTTTAGCAGTGTTCCTTTATGGAATTGGGGGTGCACTTG